TATATATATATATATATATATATATATATATATATATATATGTGTGTAACGTCACATTCTTTAACGCCTGATTTTGGAAAATGTAACGTTACATAACGTTATAATAATACACTACACACACACACTACACACACACACACACACACACACACACACACACACACACACACACACACAACACACACTCACACAATGTGTTCTCTAAAATATTCTAAAATATTACGTAGTAAGAGTGGCAAAAATGAGAAAACGAGTAACTACGTATAAATATATATGAGATTATTAAAGTATAGATAGAGTCCCGGCGTTTGCGTCAACGGAATATCTATAAATACTATTAGACACTTGTTCCCTATTTCTGTGCATAACAATGTAAATATCTCCGTGCAGTGTTTCACGTGACTCGGTAACGATATTGTAATGTAATAATGTTAGACTGTAATATCAACGTTAGAAAATCGTAAAGTCGTGTTAACGTGACTCCACCGTAACTGGTTTACGAATCAAAATGGCAAAAGCGAACGATTATTATTTCATTATCCAATATCGCTACATTTTCCACGTTCTCTGTTTTTTTTCTCTCGGAAAGCGTTAGTCTTAAACTGTAGTTTATCGGATACATTCCTGTTAAGATTCTGTGTTAGTTTCTGACCGGTCCAACGCCTCTTGCGCGTGCTGCAGGCCGGCGCAGTAATGCAGAAGCAGAACACTCAACGCTTGCACCCGCAGGTCGCTTTGCGCGATCAGTTTCATGCTATCTGCATCTCCGTTCTGCGATAGTTCTAATCTTGAGGTAGTTTCAGCGTCCAGCGCGTTTTTCAATTTGCCCATCTGCATTAAACGAAAAATTAAATAATTAGTTTAATGCATTAGATTTAGAGAATTTAAAGAGTTTCATTGTTATTAAAATACGGGAGTATTTTCCTTTAATCCTTCAGTTCCTTATTTATTAATTTTACGTTACAGCAATTTTAGGAATAAATCATTAAAAATGAAGAACATTCACATACCATTACGTTGATCTTTTCCACGCGCTCTCGCGGCTCCAAGTACTTATACAGAAACTTGCCGGTGTCCTTCGCTCTCGACATGAGACCGTCGTCCAGATCACCAGCCATAAGTGGAGCTGCAACAGTTGGCTCAGCACCCTCCAAGAGGTCAGGACTTATTCCCAGACCTCCAGCCAATGAACTCTAAACGTTTCAACAATGCGATCAGATTGATTAATGCAGAGCGATCTCAATGACTGGCGTCCTAGAGAAAGAAAGAGGAAAACCCCTCGCTCGATGTTACACTCTTCTTTTTGAAAATGTATAACGTGATCAAGCGATCGCATCGATTATGTGAGTTATAATGATTTTTCTGCATCTAATGATTATCGTGTGCAAGCTTGGCTTCAGCGTCAAAGTGCAATTATAATGCAATCAGTGCTGTGATTTTGAGCGCTCATTGTACTATGAAGTTCTCGTCGAAGAAAAAGAAAAAGAAGAGAGAACTTGCAGCAGCTTCGGGTAAATAATAGAAATCATTGTTATATAGACTTATACGTTGTATGTTAATATCGGAATCGGAGAATCAAAATGGAAGAATCAGGTTCAATATTTGTAATTTGTGAGTGAATGATTTCTATTTCGAGTGCTCGAAATTACCTCAAGTTCTGTTATCTACATATCATAATTACTACATTGCGATTATTGTCAATCATTTTATCTTACATTCCTACGTGCGAATTACCGAGTACCTTCGATGACGAATCTAATAAGTGACTGATGGAGGAATGGTTGAAGCGAATGAAACGGCTCAAGCATGGAAACTGCACGATACCGATCAAACCCTCTTCCAGAGAGCACATCCGTTCCTTTCGTTCCGATTTGAGAAGGTGTAGCGGAAAAGGATGAAGCGGAGAAGGCTTGATGAACTCTTATGGCAAAACTGCGATGATTAAGAAATTGGGGAATTGTCTATTTTCGTTAACTGCAGTTTTGCTGCAAATTCTTGACTAGTTAAGATTTACAATTTGAAAAATGTATTAATACAAAATATCCACATATTTTTCGCTTACAATTAGCAATAAAATTGATTGCAATTACCTTAAATTTTTTCATCGATATCTTTACATATTGAATTAAAATGCTAACGTTTTTGTATCTAATTCAAAGTATGAGCGCACGCGATCCTTCTCCGCTTCGGATAAACAAATGTGTGTCATTAAATTCTACCTTGCGGGATGCACAGGGACTTGGGGGAAGACTTCGAGATGCCAGGCCGATACCGGAAGCCAGTGGGGCCAGGCAACTGGTACTTCCAGCCTTCTTCAGGCCCAACAGAGTGTTAGCTATACTAGCCTTCACGGCCATCATACTTGCGCCCTGATTAATCGACCAATGGATTTTAAATTTAGATTAATATTTTTCATTATTCGATAATAAATTATATCCGCAAAACAATGAATCGAAGTCGCGAAGTTGGTCTCGCAAGACCAATGAACATATATTTCGTAGGTAAAGTATAGGATCTAGGTGGCGCACAATATTTCCAAGTGTTTTACATCCTATATTACAAGTGGCTTACCGCAAGCAATGTTTTGAAAATATGTTAAAAACGAACATAATAGCATTTTTTAGGAATTTGAGCACGATAAGCAAACACTCCATAGCAGAACACTCAGAAATCGCACGTATCTAGATAGTATACTTTTCCGAGAATGGAAATATCGACTTTGCGAAAAACCGAAAACAAAAAACTTATTGGTCTAAGTTTTATATCTACGTTGATGTACGTATCATAATCCGTCGACATTTAAGAACAAAGGCAAGGTCAAGGTGCAAGTTTACAAAAAGAACCTTCACCTCCCCGAAGTGCGTATGTTCAATTCGTTTTATTGCCAACAACAGAATGTGAGTTACGCTTAACAATCTGCTTCCTATGTACAAAATACCAAGATAAATGCGTTCAAAGATACGCGCGAGTTCTCGAAAGCTATACACTTCCCTTAACCACATGACATGCTGTCAAGCGCATCTGCATTTTATCGATATGTAATACTGATAATCATCTTTTTGATCCCTTCGCATCGTGATTGGTGCTTGAAATGACATGATATCAAAACGATAGTGTTTGTTAAAAAACTCACTCTTTCAGTATAAATTCAGTAAACAAAGTAATATATAAATAAATAAAAACGATCTATTAAATTGAACATCATTCAAAATGCGGAATTCAGTCAATTGTTATTCCGCATATTTTTAACTCCCTAAATATTTTAGATATATTCCTATTTACATTGACAAATTACGGATATTAAGCACACAAATTGACAGTATGTAAATCATGGTACACGAAACGAAGAGTATATCTTTAAAAAATGACAAATTATGAAATACTTGCAAAAACACATAAAGTTTCCTGATATGTTTATAAATATCGCATATTTTTGTAAACAATGCAGCGTGTAAATCAACAACAAATTTACAAAATAATAATTATTCGGTCACCGCAATGATGCGCAGGCTCGGACTGGGAGGCAAACTTTAAAAATTTACCCCCGTTTACCCTCAAAATTAATATTACATTATTCAAATCAATATCACATTGTTCAAATCAATATTAAAGAAATAAAGCGGCCTCTAAAAAAACGCGAGTATATATATATATATATATATATATATATATATATATATATATATATATTTTCACTTAGTTGAACATTTTTGGATATAAAATGCGATTTAACTTTTCTTTTAATAAAGCTCTATCGAAAATGGTTTCAATTGTAAAGCTATCAATAACTAAGCGTTTCTTTTTCTCTCCTTCCAATCCGAAACTGCCCCGTATATGAATATCGTACATCGTAATGGAGAATTCGAAACGTTGCCGATTACACTCGCGAAAAACGAAAGTTGCGCCTAACGTTCTATGTCTTGAGTACCTGTACGTTATCTTCACACCCGGTCAGAGAGATCTCCGGACCAATGTCCCCGATAATAGCATTCGGCTCGATCTCATCAGCTTCCAACGCCAGTGTGGCCAGGCTCTCCGCACCGCAAGTGCCGGACGCCTGACAGCGAGCTTCACATTTCTTGTGACACACCATACCGCAATCTCGACACTGCACTGCGTCTTTCAGCCATATCTGCACACAAAGTAGTTCATGTAATCACGGAGTAAAATAAAAATCAGATAAAATCGTAGAAAACCAATTCTTTGTTAAAGTCCAGCTTTCAGAGTCAAATCAAATTTTTACCGTGAAAGAATGCGCAAGTTGTCTGACAAAAAGAAAACTTATTTCTAAATCTAGTAAATTATTAAAAGATTTCTTGTCTCAAGCGATTCGCACGATTCGAGAATAGATATCGTACCTTCTTCGTACAAAAGTCGCAGTGTGTCGCCCTGTGAAAGTGCGTTCTGATGAAGTCATGCACTTTTCTGTCAGCGACTTCTTCGTTCAGTATCGGTTGAATTTTGGCAGTTTCCGCGTTCTCCTTCTTACCAGTATCATTAACCGCTTGATCGCTCGGTTGACAGGATTCCCATACGTACGATAGCAAAATGTCGCCGTAACAGAGTGTCGGGTCGAATCCCGAATAGCCTTGCAGTCTTACATAGGATGTCGCTAAAGAAGCTTCAAGAGTGATTCTAATTAGATAATTCTCTCGAGTTAAATAAAATCTTAAAAATACGATGAATAAGTTATGTCATACATAGACTCTTCCTAAAAGATTTGTTTTATCAATAAAGATCAATTCTACGGAACCTACCGCTGTCCGGCGGCAACAATGCATGACATTTCAAGTAATGCCCAGTCGTAGACGTGCAGCATTGCGCCAAGATCAATTTAATAGGTGCGTTTATGTAGCCCAGAAGTCTCGGGGGTGTCTCGCCTCCTTTCACGCGTCCCCATACGCCCACGTTCAAATATTGCAGCTCGGAATCAATCCGGAAGCTCTTGGTTTCTTCAAACGTGATCAGAGAGGCGTACGGCTTTTCCCTTGTGTTGTAATGCAAATCGGCTATGCTGTAATTCTCGTCGGGTAAATAAAACTGCACGTTGCTGGACGCCGCGGACAATGTGGAAATGGTGGAAATCCGTCGAGACGGTGTGGTGTCAGGCGTCTGGGCGACGTCCTCCGCTTGCACACTGCTCTTTCTTCTTTTGAACAACTTGCTGGTGTCCGATCGAGAATCGCTAAGATCACAATCCGAATCCCGCAGATCGGAGAACTTAATCTGCGTCTCGAACTTCATTTTCCCGGCGTCCTCTGCGCTCGGACTATCTACTTTGCCTACGGAATCGCTCTTCGACGCCTTCCTCTCAACGAAAGACGTTTTTTCACTGTCCATCTTGGCGCCGCTCTGTCTCTCAGAGTCTAACTTGGAATATCGCCTTTCTACTCGGATGATGAAGCGCCGTTGCACAGCGGATTTGACGAATTTCGCTACCTGATTCATATTCGACACCTTCTTGCCGTCTACTGCCACCAGGATATCTCCTTTCCTCATTTCGGCGATCGCCGCCGGACTGCCGGACACTATCGTCTCCACTAGCACGCACACTTGACCGACCTCCGGTACGATCTCTTGCTTGAACACCACACCCAGCTGCTGAGAACCAGTCTTACTGATGATCAGATCCAGCACCATGTATGGGACGCCACTGTACTGCGCCAAATATACCCACGGCGTAGAATCTACGCTCATGCTGCAGTACACCTCCACCTGAGAGATATCCTCGCTATTAAGTATGATGGGTGCGATATTCAGTCTGCTGATTTCGAGCAACACGACCTCCAAGTATCCCGGGGTGAGCTGCGTACTGGCGACCTGAAAATTCGAAATATCATTCGAGACACTCCGAAGCGAACATTGCGATCTCGTACGATGAATCAAAAGGGAGCAGATCTTACCTCTGAAAGATCCACGGCCTCGTCGTTCAATCTTCGGAAGAACGGCTTGTAGCGCATTTTGTAACGAGGTAGAGTGTGTTTCCGTCTCATCGCCCGCCTAATCTGGCTAGTAATGAGCGAGATTATTTGCGGTTGTAACTGACGGCCTTGGAATTGAGACTGCACCTCGAGCTCCAAAATCGGATCCGAATAGAAGCTCAAGGACCAATGTGTATACGGCACACGAGTGAATTGTAGTCTGGCTTTACCGCTGATACGTTTCACTAAAAATTGACAACTTGTGTAAACCAGTCTCATAATTTCATTATTTTATTCTTTCGAATACTGTGCGATAATACCTTGCAATGCCATATATGCTGTTTTGCCTAGCAGCATCTTAACATCTATAGACAATTGAAAGTTTCCTGAGTAATGTAAATCTAAGGCCAAATCCAGAGACTCCAATAGACCCGTGTCGGCGTCGATTTTTGAGTCGGCGACCTCCAAACCCTTGATCATGGGAAATTGCGTGCCGAGGTTTAAGTCTCTCAACTGTAGAAATAACAAAGAATTTATTTTAGGAAATAGCATGAGGAATCCGATATCTCCCATAACTCACGAGTCTTACTTTTACGCTATCCAGCAGCTTGCCGGTGGTAGACTGCGTCAACAGCTCTTTGAACTCGTTATTCAACTTCCTGTAAAGCCAGAGACGCACTCGCTCAGCATTTCGCAGTTCGTTGAAGAGGAACTGTAGCGTGAGATTGATGGCCAAGTTCTCATTGCCCTGAGACAACGCCTGACGTGTCATGCTGTTATTACAGTTCGTCCGCTCCTCCTGCATCTGCTCCACCAGCTCCTTAGGTAACTGCGCCTTGTCATGATGTAGCTGCCTTTGCGGCGAAGCAACCTGACGCCCCGAGGCGAGGTACCTTCTGAACAGATAAAACTCCAACGCCAGGGTATATATTATACCGCAGATGAATGTAACGACGGCAAACAGAACGAGTTCCAAACCGTCCATATTAGAACCACCGTTGTTGAGAAGAACGCGATCTCTCCCTCAATGAGTATCAAATGTGGTACGCGCCTAAACTACAGACTATTGCAGATTGTTACACAGACGACGTTGCACCATATGTAACATTAAACAGAAAGCTTCCAACGCCCATATTAGAGATGTGGTCGTTAAAAAAATGTTGTCCCTCGATGAACGTCATCAACAGGATACAGTGAAACAGTGAACTGTTACGTATTATCCCACCTTGAGTATGTGGCAGAGGAAGAAAATTCCAAATGTGCATATTAGAGCTGTCTGTCTCTCCTCAATGAGCATCAGTAAATGTGACACAGGCTGTAGCAAGAATTATGCAAGCACTATTAAAGTGTGCATAATCAAAGAAAAGGGAGAAATCTGAAAATTGCAATTCCTTATAGAGATGATGACTTATGGATATATAAAAAAATTATTATAACAGCACAGGAGAGAGGAGAGAAATTTATATCTCTACTTATAACAATTATTTCTAAATAATTTTTATACAAGTAATATTGGATTTTCTAATAATTATACTAGAAGAGAGATATTTTATCTAATTACATTGTTGCAAAAAAATTATCTATTGTTTTTAACTTTTTTTTTACTATTACAAAAAATCGATTTCTATAATCAGAAAAAGAAATGAAATTAACTTGTATTCTTACATGTCAAGAAACAAAAATTGCAATAAGAAAAAACGTCCTGCAAAGGATTGATTTATAACATATTGTCGCAACACTACCTAAGTTTACATTAGGAACTTTTGATACGGCCGATCTCTCCCCACAAGCGAACCATCTGGCTTGATGCATCGTGTTAAACGTGAGTCAGCCTCGCGTCTTCACGGGTCGACAGCTATCCGGAACACTTTCACCTGTCATGCACCGATCAGCTGAACAGCGTCGGTGGTGGTGCGCGGTGCACGGGCGCACGGAACAATCTGCTCTCTCGTATGTGTGCCGCATTCGACGGTGTTATACGTTTACGGACGACGATCGCAAGGTCGCGTCCCGCGAGGAGTCGTAGACGCGAAGACATGGGATAAATTCAATCCCCACACTCCTCTATCGATCCTACGACAGCCATATTCGCGTTCTGACTGACAACCATTTCTGTATATACCTGAATGCACGTATTATACGTGTATATACGTGTTACGCATATGCGCGCATTTATCTATAGTTTATGTTACATATACTGTAGGAAATACGCGCTTCATGCGCAACTCGGAACACACCCTATGCATGGTCACAGATGTCTATACTAAACTAGGGCTGCGTTCCGAAATTCACTGCCAGTACTAAAATTCTATAGTATGCGTGACATGAATTATATATTTTCAGTACTCGCAATGAATTTTGGAACCAAAATTGCTAAGGATGCAAACCTATGCAGCGGAATAGCGAAACGCGGAACGAGAGCGGAAGCAATCACGAACAAAAACTGTAGAACGCTCGTGATTGATTTCGTTCTCGTTCCGCGCTCCAGTATTCCGCTGCATGGGTTTGCACCAGAGCTACTACATGTGGGACTGAGTACGCGTAACTATAGTGCGTGCAGCGCAGCGCCACAAGCGAAGAACTGTGTACGTGTGGGCTGCCTGTCACGAACTATAGCGCTTAGCGCTTCGGCCAGGCTCGGGCGGTGGAAGAATACAAGCTGCCGTCTCTCTCCCGATCTATAGCTAATACTACAAGCGGCGAGAATCATGCCTAGGCCTTTTCATTATATCTCGACGCTCGCGTGTTGCTCCTCACGTGTGCGTACTTTTACTATTTAACTAATTGTTACATTAAATGGAATGTTTTTTTACACATAAAATACACTCGTCAACAAAATTATGTGTTCAGTTTGATGACTTTCATTCCTGCATACAACGGGTGCGTTAATAACGGGTGCGCAACGGCTGTCGCGCAAACTTCCGCCGCGCGGCAAGATTACCGCGTCTTGTGTGCAGGTGCCATAAGATCATAAGAAAACCAATCACAGTCAATTATTCCTCAAACGCAAGGAGAATAATCAACTCTGATTAGTCAGTTTTCTTACGACCTTATGGCTCCTGCACACAGGACGCGGTAATACTTACCGCGCCGCGGAAATTCATTCGACAGTCAATCAATATGCTGCTTTCCGTAATAATCTTCTAGCTCTTACGGAAAAACAACATATTGATTAGCTGTCGCGCGGACTTTCGCCGCGCGGCAAGCATTACCGCGTCCTGTGTGCAGGAGCCATTACGGTTACGGTTAAAATTTTTCTACGTGCAAGGACTTTAACTTTAGACCAATTACGTTGACTAATTACTCAACCGTTGTGCAACAGTTATATCTTCTGAAATCAGTAAAATCAACTATTTCTTTAGAACTATTGTAAAACAAACCGGAACTCTAAAGAAATAGTTAATGTAAATAGTTTTTTTGATTAGGTGCGCTGCGAGAACTTAGCGCACCTTTTTTTGAAAGTCTGTTTTTTTGTATTTAATGACCGGAACTATTTAAAATTGTTGCAAAGAGCTCTAGAACTTTTCAAGAGGGTATCAGAACTGCAAAAAAATGGCACATTTTGAAATATGGTGTGCCAAGACTTGGCACACCATATTTAAAAAAGTA